TCGGAACGAAGTTACAGAAAATTAATTAACAAACGGAGACGTAACAATATAAAAGCAGCACTGATATAAATAAATAGTAAATTAATGACATTTTCTGATAATTTTTAATGAAACATTGTTTTCATTTAATAAAACATAGAATATGTTTTGTTTTAAACTATAATGTGGAAATTAACTCGACTTTTACAGTCACTGACCATAGGTTGGGAAGTGTGGGTCTACAGATTGTTCTTGGGTACTAAAAAAAGTAATACATATCACTTGATCAAGTAATAATACAATTTGAAATCAAAGAATAATTTTAATTTCTGTTCAATTAGAGGACAATACAGTAAGAAAAAGTTTAAGTGCAGTATAGACAGGTCTATCTTGTATTATAATAAAGAGCTGTGAATATTATCACATCCTAATGGAGATATTTTCAGTAGTTGTGGAGAATTTGTATAATAAAGAATGTGAAAAGAGTTGATTTCTGCATGAAGTACATGTTGTTTTAAAAATATATTTTGATTAGAGTTAATCAACATGTTGTTTCTCTAGTCTGAAAGCAAAGCATTTTAAATTTATTAGTTTCAAACTTTAACTTATATTCCTTTTGTTGCTTACAATTATATTTGTTAATTATTAGCCAGGCTTCCTTCGAATGGTAAAGAAAAGAACTTCAGTTTTCAATAAATCGTATAACAAATATCAAAGTTCCTCGTTCAAATTGCCACCTTTGCAATCACAAGAAATTAATGAAGAATCTCTTTCTAATAAAACAGTAAGTGTTAAAAAAGCTAATTAAATAGACTGAATTAATTTCTTTATAAGTAGATAACGTTTAATATACAGATTTTTCTCTTTTTTTAATTTGTAAAATTTTTAATTTAAATCTAATTGTAAAATTGCTATGTAGAAAAACATGCTAAATAGTATGATGTGTAAGATGTAACTTCAAGGATCCATATAGTGTAAAAGAATTGTGTTTGCCTTTTAAAATCACTTCATTAACACAAGCAAAAGGATGTCAAAGTAGCTATGCTAGTTATCTGCAAGCCAATCTAGTTTTTAGTGTCAGGCTATATAACTGGGAAATTTCAGTTATCATAAGCATCTCTATATCATCAGATCATTTAGTGATACACACTTACTAGAAAAATTACATCATTTTTGAATTAAAATGTTTTTCATCACATGTTAGTACATGCACTTGATGCTTTTTTGAATAAATCATATTGATACAGTTTGATTATTTATTGAAATACCTCCACTGCAGTTTTAAAAAAGGTTCATTTTTAGGTTGTTTTTTTATTTCTATCATTTGAGTTGGCTTTTACATATCAAAATTATTTTTTATTGCATAAAGTTTCCCGGCTTGAATAAAAAGTTTGATAATTCTTAGAAACTTGTTGATACAATTAATTTGTAAACTAGTGCCTTAACTTCAATTGCATAGATCTAGGTTTTCACAATGTATATAAGACAGTAGTATGTGTTTTCTACTCCTTTAGTTATTATGTCAATTTTCTGAAATTTCTGTTCAGTTTGAACACGGAAAGCTACTCAAATACATACATCTAATTTTTCATGATTCTAAATCTGCCTGGGACCTGGATTTACTGATTGGTAATTAACTGCATTTCCTTGCAAGAAATATAACTCACGATGATCCAAAATAAAAGGTGTCTTTTCTGTAGTAAAATTAAGGTAATGGCTCAGGCTTTCCCTGCCTTTACACTTGAGTCATAATGGACAGAGGTCACATGGTTGAGAAGTGATGAGTGCAACCTGGCTTTGTGTGATGTTATAGTATTTTTAGTATTAAAAGACAGGTTTGCCTTTATCTAGCAGATTTTTCTTTATTCAAACTATTAGCAGAGTTAGAGATTTCATTAAGTATTGGTAACTTTTTGACTAAGTTTTAGTTAGAACTTTTTGATTTAGAAATTTAAATGTAACATTTGATTTCACTTTAGGTTTTTTGTTTTAGCTTGTGGTGTGAGACTTTATATTTTAACTTTAAGTCTGTTTTCAGTTAAAATTTTATAGTTTTTTCTTATACTTAATGGAGGTGGTACCATGTGTATAGTGTTGCTGTAGCACCACTGTGACACATAAGATTGCAGCTGAGTCCTGATACTTCAAAAACTAAAAATATGCATTTCATTTATACCAAACTATCAGAGTATCAGAGAACACTGACTGTTTGTAATCTCCTGTGTCCTTTGGTAGAGCTTTCTCATGCTGCTGAGCACACACTAAGTCACTCTTCCTCAGGAGCTGGTATCAGACACCATGCAACTTCTTTGGCTCAAGAGCATGTTATATGTCATATGTCACATGGTTATTAAGACACACATATACATAGTATTAAATCACTTAATATAATATATTACATTTTACAATTATTGTGTGTGTGTGTGTGTGTGTTTAAAGCATACACATTTGTAAAATGCTGATTATTTACATAATATATAATGAAATTTGCTTTTTTTTTAGTTATTCTTGTTGGCAGGATAAAAGGTGTGCAAAGCATTATAAAAGTAAGAGTTGTTAATATTGTAGTGAAGTCAGAAATATATTAAATTAATAATATATACATTTTTAAAATTTGTTTTAAGGTTAGTGATTTTTAATATGGTACCCGTTTTTTTTTGTTTTTTTCCTTTATGTTTAATTTAAAGGTAATTGAGTTACATGTTTTCTCTGGGTAATATACGTTTATTAAATTTAATATTATTGTAAGTAGTGTTGACTAATCAGTACTGCATATATTTTCTTTATTTAAAATGGACTCACAAAATTGAAAGTTAGGTGTAGAATATTAAATGGTGAGGTCACATATCTAATAAATTATGTCAGGGCTCTGGCACTAAAACATTTTGAACTACACCATTGGTTTGGGTGCATAGGGGGTGGCAGACACTGGACTGGTGAAAGAGAGCTCACTAAGATTCTTAATTCCATTATCTCTGTCACCCATCCAATAAACTCACCACAGACCCACTTGCTCCTGTTTTGTAACTGTGATTGTTGTGTGTTAGTAAAGGTTGTGGTGAACCTTATGTGTTTTGACTCTTTCTTCAAGAGAAACTCAGAGTTTAGAGAATATACGGACACACACTACATAATATTTTATTTTCTGACTTCCAGTTAGTGGGCCCTAACTGCCTACTTTGCAAAAAATCCATGTACCAAGAAATGCTATGACTATTTAACTCTGAAATGGAGATTTTAATAATTTAAATCTCATTCTCTATGCTTCTGATCACATGCTTTTGGGCCTTTTAGAATCTCTAACCTTGATGAAGATCTGTCTCTCAGTACAAAAATTAGGAATGAAATAAACTTTTAGTATTCTTTAAAACACAATTGATGCACAATATTTTAAATATGTTTAAATTTTTGTCAAACAAACTGTAGTGTTTCTTTTACCATATTTACTTATTTATCTATAAGCAAAATTATATTGGTATGTTCCTCTTATAATTTAATTAATGTCTTGAATGCTTTCATTCCCATCACTTCACTTTATGTAAGAATCCTTTCTCTTTTTGACTTTCAAAAAAAACATATTAGTATGTTTAAACATTAGTTCTCTTAAGTTATTCAATTGTGTGATATATATTTAAATGCTCTGACAAATTGAAACTGTAATTCTTGATATACATTCTTTTTTAAGGGTCAGCAGAGTCATTCACATAGTGCAGAGTTAGCAACATCTGTGAGTCCTTTGTGCCTAGAAGATAACACTGATTTGTCTGTAATTGGTAGATCAGAGGATAATCTTCCCAAAAAAAGAAAACTGCTTGGCATGTCTCATCAAATTTTGTGGGGAAAAGTTTCGGAAAAAAAAATGTTAGTCACCAGAAGCAATACAGAAGCCTTTCTGAAAGGTATTTCATAATGCTTTTTCATACCTTATATAATTGTAAGTGTAAAATACATCAGTCTGAAAGTCCACCTTTTTCATATATATATATTTTATTTACACATAAAAATATATGACTGACTAATTTTATTATTGGGTGATATAACTGTAGCGATATTTTATTCTAAACTGAAGGTTAAATGATACATCAACTACTAGTTTTTTTATAAGTCTTTAATTAGTATAAAGGGTTGGCTCTGTGTTAGAGTCCTGGACTTTAGAGCTGTTGAGCTTGATTTGAAACCACGAAATAAACACAAAATTTTCTGTGCATTTTAAGCTGTGGGTGTATTATAAAGTGCAATGACAAATTATACAAAAGTACTTTTCACAAAAAGAATTAATGTTCTACTTACTTTTCATTTCAAGTTGATATGCTTAGCAGGATTAAATCATTCAAAATTTCTTATTGAAATCTATTTTGATAACAGTAATTTTTTCAGAACTTCCATTATAATGTTGGAAAAATGTATAGATTTCAGTTTTGGAGCCTATTATTCCCTCTGTCTTTCCTGTCTTTCTTTCTTTTCTGAACTTTTTAGAAATAGTAATACCAGTGCAAAATGTACAGATTTTGTTTGTGCATACACCTCTTTTTTTATTTCAATAAATTAATATTTTTTGGGTTCTCTGGCTTTCCACTTATGTATAACACTTGGTTTTCTGTCACCTTGTAGGAGTGTCAAGGATTTAAATATGAGTAGGCTGGGATTCTTTTACAGCAAGTGTCTGTGACTTGTTGGCAATAAATTCAAACAATAAATAGACAGCATACAATCCACTTGTTTTAAAATAATGTATTCAAAACAAGTCAAATGTACATACAAAAAGTCATTATACTATAGCCTATAGGATATCACAGTTGTATCCAACACCCTAAATAATTCACTTTTCTTGTCAAAAGTTCACTCAGGCTGATTCAATTACTTTAGAATCTAATTGACAAGAGAAATTATTTTCCTCTACTCTGTTTTTCCCTATAAAATCTGTGATTAATTCACTTACATTAACCCGTGGGTTACCACAGTTATATTCTGAACTTTAAACAATTGTCTCCTTTCCTTCAAAGTCCACACAGGCGGGTTCAATCACTTTAGAACACCCTGCGACAAGACAAATTATTCCCTTTATCTCTGTTAAGCTGTGAAACTCACTTTAAAATATCCCATTAAGGCTGATCACTCACACACCAGCTAACTTAACGTTATCTAACTTTTTTTCCTGACTGAACTTCACTTCTTTTTTTGCAGTTGATCATCTATATATATATATATATATACCTTGTCCACCCAAGGCCTCAAACTTT